TGTTGTTGCTCCCAAATTCACACACGTGGTTGTAGGGGTGACAAATAGTTGGATCGGATCGGATTTGGATGGATTGCATATGGATTGAAAAAAAAAATTGGTTTGGATTACAATCTATCCAAATATAATATAAGCAAATATGAATTTGGTCAAATATGGTTTGGGCAAATATGGTTCAGGTAAAATAGTTCTAACCAAGTTAAATAAATTTATTTTTCAAAAAGTAAATTTACCCCTCCGCACAGGCGCCCCCTCCCTCTCACCCCCGGACCTTCCACCAACCTATCCCTAAGAAAATTTGTTTTCGAAAAAAAAAAAGTTTACCCTTCCCTTCGGGCATCCCCCGACCTCCACTTTCCATCAACCGGCCGATCCTAATTTTTTTTGTTTTTCAAAAATAAAAAGAATCTGGTTTGTTTCTCACTTATATGGGCTGTATATGAATTCTCATATTAACCTATTTTGTCTATATTTGTATGAGTTTAAATAGGTTAAAGATCATATTAATCCATTTAAGAAAAGAAAATAAAATATAAGTGATTCATTTAATTTAATATGAACAAAATGATTTCATTTTATTTATATGGGCTGAAATTGGCACCCCTACTTGGTAGTATAAGTAACATATTTCTATAAGCAACTTAGTTTTTGCTCCTAAATTCACACACCAGAATACCTAGTCGTATAAGTAACATATATTTCTACCAGCAATTGGATCCCTATTTTGACAAGCTATTGAAGTAATCTATTATGATTATAACACCAATGTTTTCAGCACAAGAAGTTGGATGTGCTGTTTGCTTTGGTTTCCAACATAAATCAATAAAAAAATGGTTGATCTTTCGTAGATTGATTCACAAATATAAAATTCTAGGGCCATGGCATCTATTCTAATTCTGCCATATTTATAACGTTGCTATTGCTTATTCCTACTTAATTGTTGTCTCGTGTGGTTGATAATATAGTCATGATCTCGTGAACCAACATGAAAAATATAATAATTAATAGTGTCATACATATTGTTAAGTGATGATAATCAAAACTAAACTCAAATGCATTATACTATAAAAACGATTAAGGAAGAGTTTTATGTTGAATAGAAGATATTTTTAGTGAGCAATGATTGTTAGGGACTATCAGTTAGTTAGTTAGGAGTTTGTTGCTGAGTTGTATATATACAGTGTGTACAAAATCATTCTAGGCAATGCTGAGTAAGATCAATCTACTTTTTTGGTTATGCTTTGTTCCTTTTCTAAGTAACCTGATGGGAAAAAAAATCTGAAATATATTCGAACTTTGATCGAAATTACTGTGATGATACCAAACTTTGAAAAAGACCTTTCACTCATGCACTATTTAATAGTGTATTATAAAGGTATAAATGTGTCTATGTGAACATCATAAATATTGCATAATTATAAATAGTAACATATCCACATGGACATATATATATATTTTAAATACACTATTAAATAGTGCAGGGGTAAAAGGCCCTCCATAAAGTTTGATATCATGACAACAATTTCGGCCTAAGTTGGAGTATTTTTCAGACCTTTTTCCCGTACTCACATGGTGAGGATCAAGAATCTTAACATGGTATCAGTGTTTCGAGCTTGTGTGATCGATCTCACAGTCCTTCGGTCTTCATTCATCTCATCTAGTTCGTGTTTGGTTCAAGTCGAGTGCCATCTTAGTCTTCATTTTTTGAGCAATTCAGCATAATCAACAATGGTGAACACCAGTACAACCATGAATCTGGACACTGGAGCAGGAGTCATCCCTATCATAGCAACAATCGATCAACATCATCCTTTGTTTCTTCAGCTAAATGACACTCAAAGTAGTTTCTTAATCTCAATCAAGCTCACATGACCATAAAATTGTGCATTGTGAAGTAGTTTGATGCGCATTATTAGTCTGTTAGGTAAAAACAAATTAAGATTTGTTCATAGTTGCTATCCTAAAGAAAAATTTAATGCGTATGACTATGCTTGATTCGGAAACACCTAGTTCACTCAGTTTCGACAGCAGGTTGATCCCTTATGTTACTGTCATTGCAGTTAAAGTTATATGGAGCTCAATTGCACTGTTATCTCATATTGAGGTAAAGGACAATAATGGTTTGGGAAAAGTTCATATTCTTACTGAGAGTGTAGTTAATGTGGCTCACACTACATAAAAATGAGCTTTGGCGGCAATAAGCAATCTTTGTATATGTCTCTAAAGGTTTTAGCGAGATAGAATCTAATGACACTTAACTAAATACCGGTAAAGACTTTAACAATCTTTATTAATGTGTCTATTTATTACCGCTAAAAGTTGTTTTTGTTGTAGTGTTCTTATTGATAATTGTTCTAGATATGCTTAGTTGTTTTTACTGCCATCTAAAGCTGAAGTTGTTGTTTCTATTAAGGAACTTCTCCTCATGGTTAAAACTGTTCATTCTTCAGTTGTAAAGTATTTTAGAACTGACAATCGCGCCATGTGAATTTTTTAACACACCAATAACTGCGTGCCTTATTGAAGTCCTTAGGTATTGTCCATTAAAACTCTTGTGTCTACACTCCATAGTTCCTTCGACAAAATTTGATTAATACAAGCATTATCTATCTGAAGTATGTTGGATCACAAATCAAAGACTGAAAAAAATAGCACCGAGGAGATGAGGTAGTACTTAGCAATATTTCTTTCAGTTTGAGTATTTATACCTTTCCATATTTGCACAATCTCATATTTCTATATGAAAAAATTAGCATGGTGTAGAGGTAAGCATATGAAATGTGTTCTCTTTGGTTTCTAACGGTATCTATTTTGTTTTGGGACTACACCAGGTAAGCCATATGTGTTGCAAACAAATGTGTACATGATAAAAAAGTGGATATGGTCATCTTATTGGCAGAGAAATGCAGTTTCATCTTTGGTTCGATCCAACTAAAGATTTTCATAATTATGCTACTACCCTTTGGGACCCCGATGAAATCACCTACGTCCTTATTCCATCTTCTTTAATTTCTCTAAACTTTATTTTAGTCGATCATCCATAAACGTTATTATCCTGATTAACTCCACTTCAAATGTCTTTTGTGTACATTGATGAAATGTAGTCTTCAATCTTCAGCTTTCAGTATCGTCACTATTGAAAATGCGAACAAAAATGGTATATCTGGCTTTATTAACCAATATAATTTTGATATGATTATTCAACCATAATGTGAAAATTCTACTCTGACAAAATTCAGTATCAATAGCCACTTTTGGATCTTTATTTTGCAGCAGTAGCTGGCTGTGTATATGGAATCATGATTCTTGGATAATCGTAACTGCTCAGCATGCCTTTGGTACTTCCCATATCCACTTGTTATTGGACGCAAGAAGCATAAATTTGGAGATTGGACCGATGAAGGATTACTAACTCTCTGCTGTTTTTCTTAGTAAGGTTTCGATGAGGATCCCAGAGATTATCTTGTGTGCCATCAACAGGAATTACATTAACGATTTTTCTTTCCAGTATTCCATAACCAGCTCATGAGGATGTCTGTCTTTTAACCAATATTATTAGTTTTCTTTGGTTTTCTTCTGTTGAATAAACTTCTCATATTGAGGAAGCATCCCAATTCTTTTAACTTGTTGGATATTACTTTTTATATTTTGTACCTTTTCAAATTTTATGGTTGTTTGAACTATTTTTCACTTAATAGCTGACACCTTAAAATTCTCTCATTACCAATACCCCTTATTAGTTTTATAAATTTTTAAAATTTCTCGTTTTCACGTATTAGATTAATGTATCAACGCATCAAATTAATGTATCTCGCGCATCAGATTAGTGTATCATGTATAAAATGTAATGTATCTTACTTAACGATTAATGTATCTCGCACATCAGATTAATGTATCAGCACTTATATTATTGTATCAGTTTGAGGGATTTATGTAAATATAAACTCATAAGAGACAAATGGTAATTTTGCCTTACAGGTATGTGATTTTTGTCCTTAAATTAGAGCAATATTCCACTAATGACATGAATTGTGGGGCGTTTCGACCCTTACTATTTTGTTATTACTATTAGAGGTTGTGATTCTTGGAATATAAATGGTAGCTTTTTAAAAATCAATTTACCGGGTTCAAATCGCCGCAAAATAACCCCGTTATTTGTTACAGGGGTTACTGAACTTAATAATGGCAGACCTAATTTAGGGATTATTACAACCTCTGTTACAACAAATTGCATGTAAAATAAACTCTCGCTATTTAGGCTTTTATTTGTAGTGCCTTATAGATTTATTTGCTTATCATTATTAGAGCTTTTTATTCTTAGTTGAATTTTCTTTCATTCTTTAGTGTAAGCATGTGAGGAATAAAAAAGAAAAAAAGTATGAATGAAAAGAGAAAAGTAAGAAAAAAATTTAGAACTATATTTTTAGCAGCTATATTGTAATATTTTTGTATCTATTAAAAAGAATTAGGCATCTATAAGAGATTTTACAAGAAAATGAATTAAAAAAATTGACTATCAAAATAATAAATTTAAATTAATCGCTAAATCAAAGAAGTCAAAATAATTGAGATGAAGAATCAAATAAGACCCTACATGAACTCTATTGAATAAAAGAAATTAAAAATTAAAGTATTCATTTTCGTTAAACCAATAAGGTACTTTGGTTTATTTGTGGAAAAGTAGAGATGCATATGAATGAACTTTTATAACCACTAAATCATAAAGTGGATAGGTATGTCCCTTTTCCCATCCTTTATTGTAGACTTCCAAGTCAATTTGCTAGACTTTCTCTTTATATGTTCCATTCCAATAAGTTGGGTAGACCAAGTAGAGGCGAAGTAAAAATTTTTAATAAGGGATTGAAAATTTGTAGAAATAAATAATCAAAGTGGATTTGATATTTACTATAAAATTATTTTAATTAAATATAAATAATATAATTTTTCGTCAAACGGGTTCGGATGAACCCCTACGTACAAGGTAGCTCCGCCCCTCGGTCTTAATATGTTCCATTCCAATTAGTCAATAATATTAAAGTAAAACAATAAACTCCAGTTATCTTTTTTAGGAACAGAGATCTCAAAATCTTACTGTCAAAATGAAAGGTTTGAGAGTTGAGGAAGCCTCAAATGTCAAGTCGCGTTGTATGTACGATGTGTTCATGAGTTTTAGAGGTGAGGATACTCGTAAGACTTTTACTGATGAGCTTTACAAAGCTTTGGTGGATGAGGGTTATCGAACATTCAGAGATGATAATGAAATTGAAAGAGGGGAAGATATTAAATCTGAATTGGATAAAGCAATTCATAGCTCAAAGAGTTCAATTATCATCTTATCAAAAAATTATGCAACATCTAGTTGGTGCCTTGATGAACTTGTCATGATTCTTGAAAACAAGAGGAAAAGAGGACATGCTATATTGCCAGTTTTCTACTATGTGGATCCTCTCGATGTTGGAAAGCAAATGGGGAGCTTTGCTACTGCATTTGCTACGCATGAACAACGAATAATGGAACAATCTGATGATGAAGGTAAAGAGGAGAAGATCAAACGTTGGAGGGCAGCACTCAGGGAAGTCGCTGATCAAAGCGGGAGTGGCATGGTTCTACAGAGTTCATCTAAAGAGTAAATCTCTTTCATCTTCTCTTTCTCTTTTCTATTTTCTCTACATGAAATTCAATCCTCTGAAAAAAAAAATAGGAAGCTTACAGCGAGTGAGACTCTGACTTTTGCTTTTAAAACAAAATTATCATATCTTGTTAAAATGTACATGGCTGTCAATTAAACTTCAATTTAAAGCCTTCACATGCATAACATCAATTGATAATCAGTATAATTGATCATCAATTGAAAAACAACACAAGAGACAAGTAATCTTATAGTGTGTGTGTAATACACCGAAAATTTCTAATTTAAGACCTGAACCATTGTTCATTTGTGTAGATAGTCATATCTGGTGATTTTTAAATTGTGCTTAGGTGTTAAGGTCAATTCTTTTGTGTAAGAATTTATTTGGACATGAATTATGGTCTCGAGAATCTCTTAGCACAAGGTTGAGTTGAAAGTTTCCTTACCGATTATGTTTTAATATAAGGTTCTACTTTGATCAAATTCAAACAATCATTTCTCTCATCACATAATGAATTAGGTGGACTATGATCTATGTAATTAAAGGTCTATGATTCATCTTTCCAATGCCACCAAGTTTGCCTCATTTCAAGTTCGAAATAAAAAGTTGTTATCATTTTACGAGAGACTACCACAATAGAGTTTTCTGAGTCAATGGCCTACGAATCACTTCTACGAGTCACAGCAGAGCTACTACCCGTATTATTGACTCATGGAAAAACAACTGAAAGTCAATTTTTGGATCTAGGTCGTAGTTTAGAAACTTTTAGCCTTAAAACTTCAATATGAATTTCATGGATGAGATCTATGATCGATAGGTCAAACCACGAACTGTTGATGACCCCGTGGAATGTTTTTGACAGCTAGGGGTGGGCATAAACACCGAAAAACCGAAACACCGAACCGAACCGAATTTTTTTAGAATTTCGGTTTCGGTATTTCGGTTTTCGGTTCGATATTCGGTTTAATTTTTTGTATTTTTCGGTATTTCGATTCGGTTTTCGGTACATATTACTTTGGAATTCGGTATTTCGGTTTAAACCGAAATATTATGCTATAATTTAATAATTTATAAATTATATTATATTAATTAATAATTATTAATATTAAATAATTTTTTTAAAAAAAAGTAGAAAACCCTAATACCCTACTTTGACTCTTTCTCTTTCTACCAAATTTTTTCTCCTTTCAATTCACTCCTCATACTCTCCTCTTCAGCTCTTCTTCCTCTTCTCTTCTCCTCTTCCTCTTCTACTCCAACCACTCTTCAGCTCCAACCACTCTTGTCTTCAGCAGCACCGCCAGGCGCCAGCCGCCATCCACAACAAGGGAAGCAGCAGCAGCCGCGACAGCAGCACAGCAGCCGCAACAGCAGCAAGCAGCCGCGACAGCAGCACAGCAGCAGCCAGCAGCACAGCAGCAACCAGCCGCTAGCCGCGACAGCACTCAGCAGCAGCCAGCCGCCGGCCGTGCAGCAGTTTGGCCCATTAAAAAATCGAAATAAAAAACCGAACCGAAATATTTCGGTTCGGTATTCGGTACGCAATTTATAAAAATTGAAAACCGAAAAAACCGAACCTAACCGAAATACCGAATGCCCACCCCTATTGACAGCTTTTAAGTGGGGTTTCTTGTCTTTTCCTACTTTTCCTAAGCCCAAGACATGAAGTTTTAACTTCAATTAGGGGAATATATTTCCACCAAGTACTCAATTTTCTTTTAATTATACGCTTTCAACTCCCCAACTCAGAACCCCCCCTCCAAGGATAGCAAAAGCTAGAGTTTTAAGGCTTCCAATCAACTTTTGTACTACTTCAATGAGAATGTTCATTTCTCTTTCATGTCTAAAGTGATTATAAAATATGTACAAACTTAGGATTTTACCTAATCTTATTCAAGCTATGATTTTTATTCAGAATTAGAGTTTTATGAAAGATTTCTCCAGTATATCAATGAGTTACTGTGAACTACGTATTTTATTATATTATTATGATTCTCCAAACATGTGTCCAGATTATTTATGAAGCTATGAGAGCTACTTTTGAGTATTTACGGATTATGCATGATTCCAAATAAGTTGTCTCGTGTTTAAAGTCATGTGCATAGAAGTAAAGATATGCTTATGAAAGAGATATTTTGAGCATTGACAGAGAACACCACGACTCATGATCAGTAATGAGAGTATAACTTCCAGATATGTAATTAATGTTTAGGCAGTGTGACTTCTCGAGTCATTAATTAATGATCAAATCATAATATGATTTCAGATATAGTTTTCATGATTACAACCTAGAGTTTTTAAGGGTATTTTGAATGATCCTAAATGCATTATTTTACAATGAGAAAGAAAATACTATTTTAATTACAAAAGCATTAAGAGTATACGGAGGCATCTGGACATATAAAAGTTGAATTATCCCTTAAAAAAGGGTCTTTTTGAGTATTATCTCAACACATATATGCTACATGAGCATATTGATGCTGATTATATTGCAAGTAGTATCGAGCACCAAATTGAGTAATAGTTCATTTTAAATACCAAGCCCCATGATATACATAGTTAGTGTAGGATAGGGTCGTACCGATTTTTGAATGAGTACTCCTTATTGCCTCAAGAAGGCTTATTGGATGGATCCATAGTAGTGTTTAGCATCCTATAGCCCGACAAACTGTAGGATGACCCTGACAACGTGGGTGAAATGTTGTTTCTTCGCTAGGTTCATAGTGATGATTGTCGATTAAATAAGTAAAGTTTATTATTTTCATATTGCTTTTAGTACATATTTTTTTGTAAACTACAAATGGTTTTCACCACTTGTTCATATCTTGTTTCACTTGAGTTATATTTAATCATCAGTTCAACTGTTGTTTTATTTGGCCATATTGTATACTCGTACATTCAATGTACTGATGCTATTCAACCTCATTTCATGAATCAATTTTAGGTATTTAGGATTATCAACAGATGTTCCATTAAGATCACATCATCTACTCGTCAACATATAGTGTAACCTCCTTGCTTTCGAAGGACTCCATTTTTGTTGATTTATAGTATCAGGGTTTTGAGGTGTCGTTAGTCTTCTCTCAACACCGATATTTAGATAGGATTGGCTTCATGGACAAAAAGAGTTAGACGGTTTCCATAACTTTTCTCACATGTTTTATTAAACACTTACTATCTATATTAAGTATTTTCATACTTTGTTTTAAAATTTCTTTAAATGTTTAAATGCTCATCTATTAAATTAAAGCCTTTGTGTATCATATTGAGTCATATACACCATAGTTAGCCAGACAAACGGTTCGCTTAGGACCAATAATGATTTTGAGTGCCGTCCACGTCTAGGGTGAAGAAAACATAACAACTAATTAAAGGAAACAGTTCAATCAACAAAATAGTCTAATAATCGAAAACATTACTAACTAAAGTGTAAACAGATGTAGTAAACCAAAGCTTGAGTAACTACTCATTGGTAGAGTAGCCAAATCAACACACATATCCTTGAATATGTTTCAGAAGAGAAAGTATAATAATTCATATAACTTTTAACTTGAGATCACCCAGCTAACCAATTCTGTTTTTTTTTGTTCCACTTTGATCTTTATTGTAGGACTGAGTTGAGATTTATAGAGAAACTTGTGAAAGTTACTGAAAATAAAGTAAACCGTTCAATCCTGAGTGTTGCTCCTTACCTAATTGGTATGCATTTTCGGGTTAACAATATTTGCTTGTGGTTGCAACATAAAACACATGATGTTGGTATTTGGGGCATTTGTGGTATGGGTGGTATAGGGAAGACAACAATCGCCAAATATGCATTTAACTCTAACTTTGAAAGTTTTGAAAGAAGCAGCTTCCTCTACAATGTTAGAGATTTTTCAGAGTCTACGGATGGACTAATTTATCTGCAGAAACAATTTCTTTGTGATATTCTTGACGGGAGGAAGATTGACATTCAGAGTGTTGAAGATGGAATGAATCAGATCAAAAGTGCTGTTTATGGTAAGAGGGTTCTCATTGTGCTGGATGATGTTGATGAAGTGGAACAATTAGCTGCTATCGTTGGAATGCGAGATTGGTTTTATTCAGGCAGTAAAATTATAGTGACAACAAGGCACATAGAGTTACTAAGGGCTTGTGAAATTGAATTGATTGATCATGTTCAGAAACTGAGCCTAGGCGAATCTGTTGAACTATTTAGTTGGCATGCATTCGGACAAGACCATCCAGTCGAGAATTACACCAAGTTCTTGACAAGGATTATAGAATATTGTATTGGATGTCCTCTAGCTTTACAAGTTTTGGGTTCTTCTCTCTCTGGTAAAAGTCTGGATGTATGGGAAAGTACACTGAAGAAACTAGAGGCAATTCCTAATAGTAAAGTATCGAAGAAACTGCAAATTAGTTTTGAGTTTATACAAGATGATCATGACAAAAGCCTATTCCTTGACATTGCTTCCTTCTTTCTTGGAAAGAATGTAGACCATGTTGTCACTATACTTAATGCATGTGGATATTATACAATGGTTGGGCTTCAGAATCTCCGAGATAGATTCTTGTTGATAATTGATGAATATGGAAAACTGAGGATGCATCCATTAGTTAGAGATATGGGACGAGAAATTATACGCCAAGAATCACCTAAGCATCCCGAAAGACGGAGTAGATTGTGGCATTTCAAGGACTCATTTAATGTTCTGAGAGAAAAAATTGTACGATCCTTTATTTTTCCAGTTACATTTACCTTCACAAATCTGCTTTTTATGTTATATATATCAGTAATCTTTTCATCAGGGTACAGATATGATCCGAGGCCTGAATGTTAGGTCTTGTGCACACAAAGATAAGCCACCGAGATTCTTTTATCATCCAACAGCACATGAGTACTTGCAGGAATGTGCCTACCTAATGGGGAAAAAGAAGCTGTCAAGCCAAAGTAATCCATCAAGGCAACCACAACCTCGTAAAGTTCTTACTAATGGTTCACTTGGCAAATCAAAGAAGGTGGACAGTGTCAACACTGATGCATTTTCGGGTATGCACAAATTAAAACTGCTGCAACTTGACAATTTAGCACTTAAAGGAAGTTATAAGGAGTTCCCAAGGTCATTGAGGTGGTTGTGTTGGCACAAATTTCCATATAAATGTTTACCTGATGGCTTACCTTTGGAGAAACTGGTCGTCCTGGAAATGCGCTACAGTAGGTTGCATCATCTTTTTGAAAGAAACAAGGTACTACACAATGTATATTCCCTCTTCCTTGAAAACTTGTTCCTTGCACAAGTCTTTTATATAATATCCCCTTGTTTTTAAGATTTTAAGATTCATTTTTTTTTGTTTTTGTTTACAGGTTCTAAGTGCATTAAAGATTCTGAATTTGAGTCATTCAGAAGGTTTGTCCTATACCCCTGACTTCTCAAAGCTCCCAAATCTTGAGAGGATAATTCTCAAGTACTGCACTAGGTTGACTCTGATTGATAAATCGATTGGAGGACTAAAGAGACTCCTCATTTTGAACCTGAAATGCTGCCAAAGTCTACGGAAACTTCCCAGATGTATTACTAATGTCCATTCCCTCGAGAAGCTTATTCTGTACGGTTGCTCAAAATTTGAATGGTCTTCATTAGAGTTGAATAAGATGCAGTCATTGCTAGAGCTTGATGCCGGTGGAACTGCTATACATCAAGATTCCACTTGTGTACGTAAGAAGCATTTACTGAGTTTAGCTCTGTGCACTTTAGTCTCAAGCCCAAGAAAATCTCCTGGAATCGTTAACCTGTTAACTACAGTATCTCAGACATTAGTAACCTTAAGTCTTATTGGATGTGGTCTATCAAGTGATTTGATTCCAGTGGAGCTTGGTGATTTCTCCACACTGCAGAACTTGTATTTAAGTAAGAATCCAATTGACAGCTTACCAGATAGCATCAAGAAGCTTACCAATCTCCAGGTACTTGAGTTAGAGAAGTGCCAAGAACTTAAGTATCTTTCAGAGATTCCAGCCAGTGTCACAACGTTGAGCATCTACGGATGCAGGTCAATCGAGCGGTTATCAAATTTACCAAACATATTGACAACATTGGAATTTCTTGTGTTAAGTTGCAACAAACTAATTGAGGTTCAGGAAATGTTCCAGCTAAAATGTATTTCTTTATTTGATGCTGATTTAATCAGCGTTCTGGGATTACCCAACTTGAGTGACATGAAAGTGGATCTCTACAACAACCTGACTCTTACAAGATGGAAATGTCCTATACAGGTTTGTCTTATGCTGATTTATTTGCTCGTATCACACGAATATTAATGATGTATATTTGTGATTAATATGCAGGGCCTCTATGAATTTGGCATATTCAGTACTTCTTTTCACGGAAGTGAGCTTCCAGACTGGTTAAGCTACAAATCTACGGGGTCGTCCTCAATCAGTTTTGATGTGCCTAATCATGACATTCAGGGTTTAAACTTATATGTTATCTATGGAAAGGCCAATATATCTTACTGTACAAAGAGAAATAAATTTTGGAATGAGTTTCATGTTAGAGTGGTAAATAAGACCAAGGATTTGAGATGGACATATAGTCCAATAATTCATGGTATTCCAGATAATTATGAAGATATCACATGGCTATGCAATTGGGAAATAGGAGATCACTTGGATCCTGGAGATTCTATGAGCATTTCAATGACTCTATATTCTGGTGTTCGATTGAAGCAACTTGGCGTCCACATTGTGTATAAGAACAATTTGAGATGTAACACATCACCATCTCCTCATCCACACAATCTCATTAATGGGGTGGACAACTCTGCATATCAGGTTCAAGGCTCCTACTTGCTCTGTCATCATGACTTTGATATTCAACAAAACTATTTCACTTATGGCTGGAACTCAACGGGCTGGTATGATTTCTTCTTTGGTGATAATTCTGAAGATTTTCCCGAGGAAATGGTTCCCCGTCACAATGCAGATATGACTGGAGAGAATGTCTATGGACTTCTATCTGGAGTGTAGGATAATAAAACATGACTGTTGCCATGATGCCGGATTGCTGGTGTGGAGAGCTAAGGTTTTCTAAATCATATATGTTGGAATTCTGATCCCAAATTTGCCTAAAGAAATAGTATATTCAATATGTTCCTTCGCAACAGTTACGTTTTGTAAAGCAAATAAAATAATGACATAATATTTTATCACGAAAAAACCTGGCTCACAAAGGAAAAAAAAACTTGACTTACACCTTTGTAGGTTTGAACTCCTCTTCATAAAATTCTGAGCCTCAATCAGATATTACAAACCTATGTAACCTAAGGAATTATAAACTCTAATTTCCAGCTAAGAAATTACAAACTCTAATTCCTAGCTACCCAAGACAAAAAATCCCAGGTTTAAGTCTTCTACTGTCCGTCAAGTTTCTCAAACTTATTAGATGAATCCTACACATACACTTGATTGTAATCAAAACTCTTAATTACAATCTTACAACTTTTTCCTCACAAACTCGCAACACTCCCCAGTAAATCTCAAAACTCTCTCAAACTCTTGATCGTATTTTGATCCTCTTTCTATGTAAATGTGCAATTTTCTCCAGCAAAACCATCGTCTTATTTATAGATTTGAACTTGAATCCAAAACCTATTTCAACTAGAAATAGTACTTGTGCTCTGCTTACTTTTTCTCTTAAAACATATAAGCTCACGCGTAGGATTCCTATTTCGTGTGGAACTCCAAGTTCAACTCGAACTTGTCTTCAGTTTTCTTTCTTGACTTCACTTTGATTTATTTCCTTCTTGAACTCTTTATTTACGCCCTTTATTTCCTTCTTTGATCATGCTTCTTACTTCTCTTAGTATTTATATCTATATTTACACTTTGACTTAATATGCACTCCATTTTCTTTGTAGGACTCCTTTATAAAAAGGAAATTTTATGCATTGGTTGCTTGTCGAAAAAGCAATCCTTTCACTGCATATAACTTCTAATTCGTGTGGTTGACGTTCTCCTTATCCCAGTCGGATTCGATTTGAAAGGCACATGTTAACGCAACAGGTTCCTTTCATCTATTCCTCTATTTGTCAATTATCAAAAAATTTCTCGTTCTAACAAATTCCCCTTTTTGATGATTACAAACCATTGTTTCTTATGTGAATAGATTAACCTATGAACTCATTGAAAATCAAAATTCCCTCTAATTTTACATGAAAAACATCTACTCTTGGGGAATACTTAGGGCATCTTCAACCCAAAAACCAATTTGGTGCGATCAACTCCAACCCACTGCATCAAATTTTACACAAAAAAAGAATATTTCTCTCTCTCTTTATTATTACTCCCTCTGTTTAAAAAAGAATAACCTCCTTTTATTTTTAATCTGTTTAAAAAAGATTGACCTCTTTTCTTTTTTGGTAACATTTTAATTTCAGCTTTCCACGTGGCATGTTTAAGGCCGCAAGATTGAAGGATAATTTAATATATTTGACATAACTTTAATTTAGGAACACGACATTCAAAAACTTTCTTTATTTTGTAAAATTTTGTGCCAAGTCAAATCAGGTCACTCTTTGTGAAACAGAGGGAGTATATTATTATTTTTTATTTTATTTATATATTTTTATTGGGAAAATTGTATATAATAGCAAACTAATAATTCAAGTTAAATGCTATAACCACACTTGATTTAATTGTGCGTTGTAGCAAACTGTTTGCCAATCACCTCTCTCCCTCGAACTCTCGCTCGTCAATCTGCCTCTCTTGCTTACTCCCTTTGTCGCTTGCCTCTCTCGCTTTATACAATGAGAAATGTATAAATTGTGTTTCTGTTTGTATAAAGAAGGAGAAAATTATATATAAGCATGAAAATGCATATATCTTCGTCCTATACACTAATAATTATACGATAGAAATATTTTCCTGCCCAATTCTCTTTTGTCTTTCTCTCTTTCTCGCTTTATACAAACACATATTATACAAAATACAATGTATAATTTATGTTTGTATAAAGCTAGAGAGAGAGAGAGAGAGATATTTGATATACAAATATTTTATTTCGATTCAATTGTATACAAATTCAAATTTTATACAGATATACAAACACATAAAATAAAATCGAGAGGTTGTCAAAGATTTATACAAACAGAGGCTGCCAACAATTTATACAAATGATGTGTCAGCGAAATTATACAAATCTGAAGAGGAGTCAACGAATTATACAAACGAAAGGCTACCAACAATTTATACAAATAGTCTGCTAGCGAAATTATACAAATATGAAGAGGAGCCAGCAAATTATACAATTGTTTCTTTTGTATATTTGTATAACAAAATAGCCTAGCTTCTTTTGTATATATGTATAACAAAATAGCCTAAAATCTTTTGTATATATGCATAGCAAAATAGCCTAGCTTCTTTTGTATATTTGTATAGCGAAAATAGTCATAACATGTTTGCTATGGAGCACAATTATGCAAACAATAGTTATAACATACAAATATGAATTTTGTGTTTGTTATATGTGAAAGTTTTTCTTTCTTATTTCATAAAACAATTTTTTTTCTCAAACATTCACCAGTTATTATTCATATTATTTCCTTTTATAATCGTTTATATAAAATTATTTTGTGCCATAAATTTTTAAATAATATAAATTGCTAGCAAATATCGACATTATGCATAATAATAGATAATACAAATAAAAGTGAAACCATCAATGAAATACAACTATATAAACATTACATAATTTAAAAAATATTTGAGATAATGCACAAGTACCCCCTCAACTTATGCCCGAAATCTCAGAGACACACTTATACTATGCTAAGGTCCTATTACCCCCCTGAACTTATTTTATAAATAATTTTCTACCCCTTTTCGACCTACGTGACACTATCTTGTGGGCCCAACGTTGCTTGAGTTTTTTTTCAAGTTTGTGCCACGTAGGCCCAAAAGAGGAAGAAAATTACTTATAAAATAAGTTCAGGGGGATAATAGGACCTTAGTATAGTATAAGTGTGTCTCTGGAATTTCGGGCATAGGTTGAGGGGTACTTGTGCATTTTCCTAAAATATTTTAAATTCTATATAAATATTCAACTTTCAAAATGACTCAAAAGACTTTCTCAACCTTTACTTTGATTTGAAATAAGTATTTTAGAGTTATGATTTGGAATGTAGGATCTCTTAATTATTTAAGAAGGTTTAGGTAGTTGATAATAAGAAACGAGCAAAGACATAAATTGGAGAACACTGGCGCGGCGCGAAGGGTGAATAATTTTTTTATCACGAAATTTATTTTTGAGGTAGAGGACTTCGTATCCTCTTCGTGAAGCGGAGAGGGAGTGACCATCTGAAGAGTGAAAATCTTAAGCGTCTCCTTGACGCGGACCTGGGCGCAATTATTTGTCCTTTCTTTTCTTTCTCTCCCAAACTAGACTCAGTTCATACCCAAAACAGCTTTCTCGTCCAAATATCACGAAATCTCACAAATCCAAAACAACTTCGATGAAACCCATATAGTAATATATCAAGGGACTCAATTCATTTGGAAAAACTCTCACCTCAAGAACTCCAGGACCTTAATTTATCAATTTAACTGAAGAACATCTCAAGAATTCATCAATCAAGTTCAAGAATGAATTTATGGGTAAAATATTCTATGATTGACGTGAGGGAGAACAAAATAAACACTCTGAAAGCTTACATATCTCGAAAGAATCAAATTCTTAGCGAAATTCCTCAAAGCTCGCAAGAAAATCTTGAACACTCGTAGCTTTTCTCCCTTTTCTCTATTTGAACTTTTCCCTAACTTTTCAAAAATTTTAGACTTTACCATTTAAATTAATTTTGATCAGCTTTCATCCCTAATTTTGGTGGAAAAAACGTGTGGACTTAGTGGGGTAAGGAAAAGAAAAATATCCCTCCTTAATTTAGATGTAATTTCTTAACTGGACATGAAAAATCAAACAAACATATCTCCTTCATTCGAACACGGAATTTAGCATACTTTGTGGCTTTGGAAAGATGATTCAAAGATATTTAATTTGATATCTCATATGTCACCTAAATCATCCTGTGATGAAAGTTATGGTCGTTTGAAGTTGACTCAAAACACACAATTAAAGACTCATAATTTGCACAAATCTCAAATTGACTAATTCTAATTTAGTTCTTTCTAAAATTCAGCTCTTTCGAAGATAGAGGTGTTACAATTTAGTTCCTCCTCAAAAAAAAGATATTAAAATGGTGTTAAGAACATATTTGAATATCTTTGAGGGACCATAGACATGTATTTATTCTATTATGATGAATCCAAGTCAAAAATGATTGTTTACACATATGCGGAATATTTACCTGATACGCGTAAAGCTCGGTCTCAAACATGTTATTTGTTTACATGTGGAAGAACAATAATATCTTGGTGATCAATGAAGCAAACTTTACTAGCCACTTCTTTAAATCATGCAGAAATATTAGCCCTCCATGAAGCAAGTCGAGAGTGTGTCTAGATGAGATAAATGACACACCATATTTCGAAAATATGTGATTTTTCTTCGAAAAAGAATATATCAACCACAATGTACAAAGTTAATTTTGCTTGTATAGCTCAATTGAAAGAATGATACATCAAAGAAGACTGGACAAAGCACATTTCATCAAGGTTATTTTACACATGGGTGTGTTTGGTATGAAGGAAAATGTTTTCCATGGAAAATGTTTTTCCTAGAAAACAAGTAGATTTGGACTTATTTTCTCATGTTTGGTTGGTGCGTAGAAAATATTTTTCGAAAATAATTTTTAGTGTTTAATTTATGAATGAAAAATGTTTTTGAGGAACATCTTTTATTTTTACTAGAGCAGAAAATAATTTATAAAATTGAAAATATTTTTTAAAAATAATTTTTTTTGGGGTGGTGGTTGGGGTGGGGGGTGAGGGGTAGTGGGTGTGGGGCAGGGAAGGGGGTAGGAGTGAAAAAATAAAAATTTGAAGTTGATAGTATTTTTAAAAAGCAAAATTATTTTTTTGGGGGGTTGGGGGTGGGGGTGGGGGGGCTGGTAGGAGTGGGTAGGGGGGGGAGGTAGGAGTTTAAAAATAAAAAATTTGAAGTTGAAAATATTTTTAAAAAGCAAAATTAATTTTTTG